CCTTGTCCGTCATGGCGGAATTTCTTTCGGGTAGCTCTCGATATCCGGGAACTTTTTAATCGCGTTAAGTCACGCTGCAGTTTCCAAGTGTGTCGCTGCCTCGAGGCTGAGGCTTAAGTGGTCCATGGGTTCCCTCGGTGGAGCGACGAATCGAGCTGGAGCCGGGGTCTTCGTGCATGGTGCGCGTCGAAATGAAAATCGATTCACGGTTATGTTTGTCGAGAGGCGACGGGGGAGGGGGTGGCAAGCGAAGAAGTTAATAAAGGGCCGGTGTCGGAAAGTTTAACGGCGTTGATGAGATGGTCTATAGATTCTCGAAATTAAGATCGGCACCGAGGAGGAATGATAATGCAGTTTTAAGGAGCCTTCGCGTGGTAAAGTAACGGGCGATCGCTCGCCACGGAAAGTCGAGGAATTAATAACGAGGATAGTAGCAACGAACTCTCGATTCGCGTTCTCTGTTTCCATCCCCGGGCTTGCACAGCGTCGTCGCAATTAACGCTTCGGAATATCGAGCTGTACGATTAAAAGTTCTCGTTAAAAAACTATCGGCCATTCTTTACACGTGTACGAAATACACCCGGCTCCTGGCCTTCCTTTTTCCCTCGACGATATTGCCCCATTGTTCTCCAAAGTCTCTACGCTGGGGCATAATAAATCATGTTCGCGATCTTCCGTTCTGCCTCTCTTTCGTCCCGCTTATGATAGCGTCGCTCGATTCGCTCGGACATCTAACGGGTAATTAATCACCGGAGTAAATAATCGATCGATCCATCTCCGAATATTCCGGGCACGTTCACCCTTCGAATCGAATAAACCGTGCAATTTGCTACCGGTGCCCGTGTCGCGAATGCAAAAGCTCGTCATAGGTAATGGAAGCGCCGTTAAGACGGATTCAAACCTAGTCCCGTATTTCGCTCCTCCCGAAACGCATCTCTCGCCGTTCCTCCTTCCATTTCTTTCGATTCCCGACGTGGCTATTAGCCGAAAGCATCGACCCGTGACCGAGTGTGCTTTTAGCCTCGGTCTGATCAACGATCCGTGGATCCACTCTATTTTTTCACTCTGCTCTCAGCATTTCTTCGACTCGCGCGTGTCGATACTGGCAATCGCGTATCGTTGGAATAAAAACACAGTGGAATTTTGAAATTTTGCGAGAAAATGGCGCTAGCGTTCACAGAATGTCACGAGGAACGTGTTCGCCGAGAGAGATGGCCTGTTAGGCCTCGAGAGCGGCAGGTATTTCCCGAGAGCCTGTAATTGCTTGGCGAGAGTTACGTTTTCCCGAAATTTGCCACGACTTCCGGCTGCGAGACAGAACCCACATTTGCTCGGACAGCGACGCCTGGCCGGAATTGCTCGCAGCTTCATCGGGGTCGGACAGGATACACCGAATGTCCTCTTCGGGGAAATTCATGCTCGTACTTGCGCTCGAGTTTGCGGCCGCGGATGGTCGATCAGACCGTGTTCTCGGTTGCTCGTTGCAACGACCCGTGTTCGCGTTTACGCCGGTGTTTGTTTCGTAACGCTGGGTGTAGCCTTCGAGTTCGCCGCGGAGGGTAGTTTCTCCGCGGTCGCGACCGGATATACGATTACCGCGCGACACCCTTTGAACACGGTAACCCGATAAGCGGGAACAGGCGAGAACAAAAGTAGGAATTTTTCTGCTTTATAAATGGAGATGGGGTCCTTCATCCGCGTCGAGCATTCTTTCAACGGGGGTGTATTTCTTTGCCTTCCCGCCACCCTTCTTTATTTCAATCTCCTCGTTCCGGTCCCTTTAACCGAGCCGTTTCTGCGCCAGCATGTCAGCCATTTCGCGGCCTCGTTCGCGTCCGACGAGATGGAGGAAAGTAGCCGAGTAAGTAACCGAGAAAGCAACCGAGAAAGCAAGCGAGGGTTGAAACGACGGGAACCGGCGTACGTCGAGTCGGAGGCCCGTTCCACGACCGGTTCGACCAAAGGGTCGTGAAGCGTGCAGTCCCGGGATCGCGGTACTCGCGCGGAGGGCTAAACGGAGACCGTAGGTAGCTCGGGGCTCGATATTAAATAGACAGAGCACGTATCGCGGAATGAAAACGGCGAACGGGGAAGAAGTAACTGGAAAAAAGTACCGGTCGGGCTATATCTCTTCTTTTTCCGGCGAGACCGTGTGGAATTTTTATCGAGTGCTTGAGGGAGCTGTTTATTACGCAGGTGTGGGTGAGAAATGGTGTAGCCGCCGAATGAGGTATAAAAGAAAAGTGGAGGATCGTATATAAAACGTCTCGGTGCACAGATGAGGCCGAGTGGAAAAAGAGCTGATTCTTCTTGGGGTTAGATACACGCGCGCACTGGTACACGGACGTACGCGAATTCCGTGGGAATTCATGGAAAGCGCGTTTAATACGGTAATACGGCAGGTTGGCCGTTTATTCCGCGAGAGAACAGGCGTCTGAAAGTGTATCGTTCCCACGAACCGATCCACGCGAATTTCAACCCGAACCCGGTTTTTCCCTCCGAAAAGCGCGCTCTCCGCCATTCGTAATTCTCGCCGAATATTCGAATCGTCTCGGTCCCCCGCTTTCAATAGCCCGGGAAAGTGGGAGGAACGGCCCCGTTCGTTAGATGTACATCGGTGAATCCGTGGTGTGTCTCAGGCTGAAACGACGACCCGACGTTAGCCGGCTGACTCGTTCTTTTCTTCGCGTAAACCGGCAGCAAGTTTCGCGGATAATACGGGAAAGTTGCGGAACGAGATGCCGGCGAGGAAAAGAATGGAAACGACGGGGGACAATCGCGGACGAAGCATCCGAAATTTCGCGGTGAAAACTTAAAATGGACTCTGTACCACGATTTTCCGCGGATAGAGGCGGAAAGAGAGGAAACGCGGAGCAAATCTCTGAACGCTGTTTGTCCGATGTTCCCGCGTTCCCTCTTTTTGCTCTTCCTGGGGGGCGCGTCGGCCGCAATTCGGGCAGGTCGCGCGAACTTTTCGAGAGGATAAAGAATCGAGGGTAGACGACCAAGAGACGAGCGAAACGAAAGGAGAGGAAAGGAGAGGAAAGGAGAGGAAACGAAAGGGAACGAAACGAACGTTTGGACCGGTTTGGAACGGTTGCCGGCGCTTAACGAAGCTAAAGCGATCGCGGGAAAACGTAAGCGCTCTTCATTGAATATTTAAACGACCGTCTTTTCTCTCCCGTCTTCCTTTTTCCCTTCATCCCGAGCGTGGAACTTTTTCGCGACTTAAGTCGGGACCACGGCTTCCGAGTCCTTTCTCGTACATTTCTCTTTTTCCACCGGTACCCACATCCCCGTTCTCTCTCCCCCCTCGCTCTTCGTCTCAGTTTATCTTTTCTCTCCGCCCGGAACAGCCGCGAGGAAAGTCAGCTTTTGTCTCGACGGTTTCGCGGAAAGAAATTGCAATATCTACTCGACACGGTGCATTTTCGCCGTTAACTAACGAACATCCTTCGTGGCTATCCGTTTGCCACGGCGTCGTCCCCCCTGGAGACGTCCGGCATCCCGTCTGCTCAGCCCGCTTGAAAAACCCGACGGTTCCCCCGCGAAAATAATTAGATCGCAACGAAATTGACTAAGCGCCAGGGACACGCCGCTAACCAGGGGATAATATTTTATCCCGATCTTTCGGTTCTTGCCCGTCGGGCACGCTTCTGGTTCGTATCGCGGTCAGAATCCCGGAGTCGTTTCTCATACGTCTCCCCCGTCGGCGAACATCCCTCGGGGCTGTCTGTCGTTTTTCTGACATTCGGTAAATAGAACACGCCGCCGAGCACTCGTAACTTTGCCCAAGTATACCTGACTTTCCGAAGGAAAAAACGCACTCGAGCTGAACTTGAGCGTGGCGCATCGTCTTAATCGTTTCGAGATTAACGTCATTACGCGAAACGACGCCGCGTCGTTTAACCCACACCAGTGGAATTACGTCTCTCGAACGCGAGAGCGCTCTCCAAATTATTTTTCACGCGTCTCTCTGATCCTTCCGCGTTTATATCCCTATTCCGTCGAACAACCGCGCGTTTTCGGTAATATCGCGGAGCAAATTCCATTTCCAGATCTCTCTTCCTCTCTCTCCCTCTCTCTCCCTCTCTCTCTGTCTCTCGGGTGAAATAGTCTCGGCGTCCCTTCGTTTTTTCCACCCCCGGATCGACGAAAGTTCGACAAACGATATTTACGTGGGACGCATAAGCCCTACGTTCGCGCGAGTCTTCGCCTTTTGAAAATGGGACTTTACCATTCGAGGTATGCGCCGCTTAAAACGCGAACGATTGTTCCTCCGCGGCTGATCGATGCGGCCCATAATTTTCTTTCGCACAAGGCCAACGTTCGCCCGGGAATTCATGAATACTTCCACGCGAATACCGCGAATGCCAACGGGTAATTTTCATAAATAACTCGCGTTTCAAACTCCGCCCGAATTTCAAGATCGAATATCTCGGCTTACGTAACCGTCCCTTTTTCTCTCAGCCTCTGAAACGTGTTCCCCGTGTTTCCGCCAGCCATCGATTCCTCCCCTGAAATTTTCATCGGATTCCTCCGCGATTACGACCGATCGATCCGGCAGGGACCGGAGAGCACGACGGATTTGGGACTCGATGGCAAGGGAGAGACGGCTAGCTAGACGGCAAACGGGTGTCATTTGTAACGAGTAACCGGAGAGATGGACGTCTGCCGGATATTTTAATCCGACGTTCCGAGCAAAACAGCGGGTCCAGGTCCGCAAAATCCTGGAACCAACTCCGCATCTACTCCTCGCTGCAAAAACCCACCCCGACTAGTCTACCCTCGAGCAACACGCGAGTCCCCCTCCCCCCTGTTTCTTCCTTCGTGCCGAGTAATTCGCGTCGATTAGCCAGGGGGGTTGGTGGTCGGCTAGCGAAGGCACGAGAGGCTCGTGGCCAACAGGTGTAGAATCGTCGCGGAGTTTGGGTGCTCGTTAGACGGCTATTCGGAAGGACAGGCTGTTGAGGGACAAACAAAAGTTTCTTTCTACTCACCTTGCCGAAGTTGGAGAGACCACCGATGCGTGCCACTTGGCCGGGTTCATCCGCTGTGCTGCATTCTGCCCTAACGAACCAATAGGTCAGTAACTCAATGGCAACAATCCTCGGCATTACTGTCGTACAATGCCCTCTAATCATAGAGTCCCACGTTCCTAATACCGGGCAACGCGGCTAGAATTGTCCGTCGAAGTAATGACTGCGGAGATTGCGCTTGTCTCGTATACAAACGTCTCGATTCTCAGCACCAGCGTCTGGGAGCATCGGGAGCCTTCGATCGATCGGGTCGCGTCTTGATCGTTAAAATAAGGGCGGGTTGGGAAACGTGGATCTCTGTCCGTGGCCGATTAATCGCTATTATCTTGACGAATTTGCCAAGGACGATAACGTTCGTCGACGGATTCGTAAACATCTCCCGCGTTGATAGGATTACCGGGAGACCTGCTAGGTGCGGCCCAGCCGGCACGGATTCCGAGGAGTCTCGGGAATTTCGGCACGATTATCGGTATTAGCACGATGTCCTCTAAGCCGGCAAACGGAACGATACCACGTCCGCGATTCCGAGTGACGCGATAATCGATGCTCGGAAAGGGTACCCGCGAGCGATGGACCAGAGATTGGACCAGATATTTGATTCCATGTTTAGGTTATCAGATACTTCACCGATTTTTTTTATCCATGATACTGTAGCGACCATCATTCTCACCCTCGCCACTAGATGGATTACCTCCTATATACCTTTCTATATATAATATACGTAGGATCGGATTTTGGGTGGATGGACTTAAGATAGTATCGTTGGTCCCTTAACCCTTTGCACTGGACGAATTTTTGGCTAGAGGAGAGTAGAAACTCAAAGATTCTCTACTAAAAGAACTGACGATACTTTTTGCAGCAGTAAATAAAGAATTGTAGAATTATTTCTTTTTTGGCTAGAGGAGAGTAGAAACTCAAAGATTCTCTACTAAAAGAACTGACGATACTTTTTGGAGCAGTAAATAAAGAATTGTAGAATTATTTGATTTCGATACCTCGCACATTGTTACATTGCATTAAATTTGATATATTAATTAATATCGATCTTCAAAATTTTATGAAACGGTGACTGGAGCTCATCTCTCGAGCGCAAAGGGTTAATGGAATAAAATAAGCTTATAAACATAATGACGACTATGAAACAAGAGAGATTCGCTATGGGCACGCTCTTCTGATCTTTCTTAGACTGACTTGAACTTCTTGCATACTCTCTGATTGACACACTGGCACATTCTTAAAAACTGCAAAAAGACTGGCTTAAAGAACTCTTAAAGACTGACTCGCCCGCGCCCTTGCATCCTTATTTACACCATTCATTCTGTCCTTTTTCATACCCAGGTTTTTCTTCCCAATCATGCCCCTTTTCCACGCAGCCTCGGTGGGCCAGGTACTTCAACCACTCTGAACGCATCCCTAAACTTTCACTGGACTCTACCATAAATATTCTTTGCAGTCAATCCTCGTTCCAATCCTACATATATAACTTCCCGTGCTTGCAATAGTATCTCGGTCTGAGGCAGGGCCTGCTAGGTAACCTTACCGACGAGTCCATTAGCAGGCCCGAGACGAAACGCTTAACCCTTTTCCTTTCATAGTACCTGCAACCAGCCGACTTCAGCAACCGTGGGGGAGGACCCCCTACAATACTATGAGCGAAAGATCCTATTTTCTACTACGATATTTGTTTCCATGTGTACGCATCCGTGGCAACGTATGCTTCGTCCGTGGCTAAGAATCCTTCCTAGCTAGACCTATTCAGAGCAATTAACGTAGAATTTCGTATTTATTAAAAGTAATTATACATTTTACTCGCATACGCTCGCTAGCACGCTTTTCCATGCACTGCCCTTTCGCGCAGTCATTCTCATTTTTTAAAACCCTCACACACGTATTCGCACACTCTCGTAACTAGGAAAACGACCATTCGCGTTCCTCACCCAAACCCAGGAACTTAAGAAATATAAATACACGCTCGCTCCTACCGCACAGTCCAAGCACTTCACTCCGCATGCAATGTCCACATGCAATGCATTCGCTCACCCTATATTAATTAATTATAAACTTCGTTAAATTAATATTCCAATATGTCGGGACTGCAAATGCGAACGATAAGACAATTCGTAATATTCATTCTCAAACACTGAGTCAATGGCAGACTGTTTTATCTCTTTATTATCAGAGGCTTATTATCATGATTCGCGGACAATTTAGGCCATTTGAGGACCACTTGTGTCAGTCCCTAGTAAAGGACAATAAACCTCTGCTGGATGAAAGGCATACCAAATTTATTTAATCATCAACCACGAAAGTCGTCGAAACACACCCCTAACAGACATACAGAACCAACAGAAGGATGCAATCAAACTCATAAAGACTCTGATACACGGGACATGTCTAGTGAAAAACGGAATTCAGCATACGCAATTCACAATACAGACATCGTTTATTCTCTGTATCATAGTGTATCAAGAGGATAATTGAACTATAATCCGATCAACGAAACGAAATACCGAATGCAAGGATTGTACATGACGAGTGCGTGATCAGACTAGAGCCAATTCGCAGTACCTGGGCCCATTGATTACGTGGAACATTTTGGGGAACAGTGTGTAAGGGGGGTTTACTAATATTCAACAAGAACTGGCCACTAATACTCTTTCTTGAAAACTGTCTCTCAGTAACTCCTCTCAACTCACTGTCTTGGAACTGTCTAGAAACTGTCTTGGAACTGTCTAGGAACTGTCTAGGAACTGTCTAAGCACTGTCTCGTACGTTTCTGAACCTGCCCTTTTAAGGATGGATCTCCTTTGTTCATTGATCGCGGATCAAGGGGATCGCCGCTTCGATTTGAGACCCCGGTTATCATTGCTACGTGCTCCTCACTCACGCCGCCTTATCGGTAACCAGAGCTCGCCTAATCTTATATATTCTTACAAGTGAAACAGCGTGAATTCCGAATATTCTTTCAAATTCTTCGGTTTATTCCGATCTGACGAAAAGTTCACGATAACTGAGCAGAAGTCGTTGCTGAAGGAGTGGAAGCTCAAGAAAATGGACCAATGTCTGCAGACCACTTAAGACCACTTGACACTATGTTCTTTCAAATTCTTCGGTTTATTCCGATCTGACGAAAAGTTCACGATAACTGAGCAGAAGTCGTTTCTGAAGGAGTGGAAGCTCAAGAAAATGGACCAATGTCTGCAGCCACTTAAGACCACTTGACACTATGCCGTCCGGTGGCACCACGTTGGTGTCATGCGAAAACTATCCAACAAATGCCGGTGACACCACGTTGTTATCATGGACAAATGGTGAGTCAGTCCTACCAGCGCCAAACAAAAGAATCTCGATTAGACGTGCGGATGGCATAATGTTAACACGTTAAGTGCCACGCTGGTCTCCAAGGAACCGGCGTTCGGGCCCAGACTAGGACCAAAAGGTGCTAACTTTTGATGTTAAATTTTTCGCTATCTTTGGATCTAACGTTTGGACCTAACGGATTCCTGTTATAACAATTGGTACAGTATCTCCGAATTTTATAAACACTTGGCCCACCGTCGGTGGCTCACTTGACGGCCGAGTCTGGGCTTGAACGGAGTGGCAAGCAAAACGGGCTGGGCACTTAACGTGTTAACTGATCGCATAGACGTTAATGTAAAACATTGGTATCTCTTTGAACGGATTATAGTGAAGTATCGCAGGATTTTCACCTCGTGTATAGGTAACTTTAGCTTAGATACGTCAGGCCCTTAGCATGACCATATTTTGTCATGTTGGGGGAGGCTTTTGGAGAAGATATAAAAGACAGAAGTAGTTAGTGAGCATTCATTGGAAGAAAGTTCTTGAGAGACAGTTCTTTAGAGGAGTTCTTGGTTGTGTTTTAGTTGTGAGCCATTAGTTGTAAGTCTGAATGTCATTGAGTTGAGCGGAGTCTTCAGTTGTAGATATAGATTCGTATGCTTAATCGTCACCCATATATTGTTAACTTATTATTAATTAACGAATAGTCCGTATTTACCACCATGAAACCCATAGTCTCTACAATAGTTTATAAGAGGACTTAAACGTCACGAGATTAATTGTCCTCGTAATCCTGTCGGACAGAACACAAGCATATTTTCGCCTGAAATATCTCGGAATCTAAATCCGAGCAGCGGTAACAGAGGAAGATCGTTTAAAATAGTGTCCCTGAAGATATACATCGCGAGCCAAAGTTAGCGTCGCGAATAGGGTCGAGGAGACTCCATGGTTGAAAATAAGTCGAAAATCGAGAATGAATAGCATCGCCACTGTGCAAAAATAATCACGGTGGCCGACCTTAGCGAAATCGGCAACGTCAATCGTCGGATGCACTTCAAGCTCGATTGATTTCGTACGATTTTCTCTTTCTCGATTTCCGTCTTACTTTTAATCTTCGTGGAATCTCCGTGACCGCTAATTTCGATCCGATCTTCATTTCCATACGATCGAAATCGGCGAAACATTCGGAAACGACAATGTCCCCGCCACCAGTTGAAACGTCTCCTCGCGTAGATATTTATCAGCGCGTGGGAACCTATCGGAGTCGTAAAACGCGCGGTCGATGCCGGAAATTCCGGGACGCGGATAATATTGTTACGGTTCCATTAATCCGCGCATGATTCATCGGCCCGTTGGTTACGTAATGTCGCGTATAAATAAAGGGACTGGCTTTACCGGCGATATAAATTTCGCGGCCGAAAGACACAGTCGTCCATCATCGGACCGCGGGTGCCTGAGCTTTTTAACCGCGGTTTCGCCTTCGACCCCCCCAATCGTGCACCCTGCGCGTCGCGAGTTAGCCGCCAACTTCCGGCCGCCATTAAACCCTCCATTAAAAGCTGTCCTGTACTCGCTGTTTATCGACCAAGACGATACACCGCGAAAGTCTTATTCTCGGTGTCGTAGTAGAAACTAAATAATAAAGTAAACTCTACATCCTAGCGATATTGGGGGTAATCTCTTCCTCTACGTTTTGTCTTCTGTCAGTGCGTGTCTTTTGTCTTCCGTTTTCTGGAGACGTCTTGTGACCTGCGTGACCCTAAACTGGTCAGTTCTAACCGTTCGCCTGTTTAACACGTTGACTGCCAAACAAACATTTCACGATTCCGGTCTAAGAAGCCAATTTGATTTAATCACGTTATATTATTATTTTATGTTATATTTTTGTGTTATATTTTTATTTGTAATATATAGCAATAATGGAAAAGCTTAAAAAATATTTTTAAGGAATATATTACGAATTATCTCGTAGTTGGGGTGCAAGATTGTTCAAAAAATGATCACAAACCATAAAAATATTATTCCGCATGAACAAACTTGTATGAACTTTTTCTTCTTGAATTATGCTACAGTTATACTACGGGTTTCCTCGTAGCTGTACAAGTATGGCAAATAATGAAGGGACGAGATAACTCGTAGTAGGCATACTGGGCAAGGAAACAACCTACGAGATACCTAGTATTTGGCAGTCAACGTGTTAATAAACACCTATACAATTTTTCTACCGTTTCCACTGACTACTATTCCTCTGCGTTATAACCCTTTAACACCCGGAGACACACCTTTGGTTCCATTTCTTAGAGTGAGAGACGTGGGCTAGGAGCTTTTAACAGCGTTACAGTGTAGATGATCGAAGTAGACGTTGAAACTTCGTATTAAACCGAGCTATTGGGACACAATTGGCTCTCGAAGTATATATCATCATTTCGTGTCCTTTCGAGTTAACGTTGTTATCTTTCTTCGATTCGTTTAGCTCCATAAGTCCTGGCGGAAGGTTCTGGTCTGGCTCACTTTAGAAAGTTCTTTGGTGTCTGGGGATGTACGGTTAAAAGGGAATTTCAAAATTTTAAGAATTACAAAAGTTATCGAGGATCTTATGCGACTGGCAGGTTACTCGAACCTGTACGAAATGAAATAATAATTTGTTTTATTTCTGTCATTGAGTGCATGATTTACGAAGCAAGATATATACTTAATGGCATCGTTAACTGTTCCCAAAGTTTATGTATGTTTAATTTAGATTTATTCCATATATCTTTAAGACACCATAATTTTTGGAAACAGGAGTAGCACAAGTACCTTTACGGTCACTACAATTGTTTGAACAGAATTTTTATTAATGTTAACCGTTTCTCCCAATCCTTAACCCTTTGCACTCGACGACTTTTTCGTTACGGAAAAATAGTAATTCGAAGACATTCTGTCATAGAGCCGACGATATTTTTAAAATGGTAAATGAGAAATCATATACAAATTAAGACGTAGAATTATTTTTCTTCCACATTCCACACATCGTTAGGTAATTTTAAATTTGATATATTAATTAACGTCGATCTTTATAATCTGAATAAATGGTGACTAAGAGTCACCCCTCGAGTGCAAAGGGTTAAATTTCTTCTGTTCACCTACTCATTTTAAGCATAGTATATTGTATCTTTTTTTCGGCCATCAACAAATCTAGATGACTCTGTACTATATTATTATTTTTCTTGTTACCAAAGGGTTATTACCCGTTAAGGTAAATAAATAAATAAATTATATAAAACATTATAAAAATTCACGTAAAATGTAATATTTTTAAAAAATATGGTATAATAGGTTAATGAAAATTTAAATCGTCTGTGACTCAGACATTTTGACTTGTAGAATTGTCCTTGTAAAAATGTTCAACGAATAAATTAGTACTGTACATTTTCCACAGTGCATTTGGCACAGATGCATTTCGTGTCGACGGATCTTTGATTGCAACAACAAGGACTTTAAATCACCGAGTTAATTCGTATTGTATTATAACATATTATTAGCTCGTAGTGTTTTCATCAAATACGCCATATCTTTTGTTGCGTGACGACGGTTTGATAACTGGTTCTTGGAAGCCATCGAGGTCTAACATTTTCTTTCTCATGCGTATCTAGACTTAAACGCAATCCTGAAGTCAAAGGCAACTTAACGTATCAAGTACAGCGATGTTAATTAACCCTTAATCAGATTTAACCACCCTCAAAGTGGTGAAATTTATAGATCAAATTCCGGTAAAATTTGTTTTACTTTAAAAAATATTATTACTATTTTATCGCAACTTTTATGTATTTTTCCACTAATCTAATACGTGTATAACATGCAATTAACACGTATTAAAACTTCTAGGGACAGCTGCATTATTTTCGAATTTTTCTTATAGATCAAATTTTGATAAAATTTGTTTTATTTTAAAAAATACTACTAGTATTTTATCGCCAATTTTATGTCATTTTCGATCAATCTCATATGTGTATACATGTAAGTAACATATATCAAACCTTCGACGGACAACTGTATCATTTTCGAATTTTGTTTATTAATCAAATTCCAATAAAATTTGTTTTATTTTAAAAAATACTACTAGTATTTTATCGCAACTTTTATATATTTTTCGACCAATCTAATACGTGTATAACATTTAATTAACATGTATCGAACCTTCGAGGGACAACTGTATTATTTTCGAATTTCTCTTATAAATCAAATTCCGATAAAATTTGTTTTATTTTAAAAAATACTACTAGTATTTTGTCGCCAATTTTATGTCATTTTCGACCAATCTAACATGTGTACAACATGTAATTAATATCTATCGAAACTTTGAGGGACAGCTGTATCATTTCTGAATTTCTCTTATAAATCAAATTCCGATAAAATTTGTCTTACTTTAAAAAATACTACTAGTATGTTATCGCCAATTTTATGTAATTTTCCATCAAACTAATATACGTACAACGTGTAATTAACATGTATGGAAACTTCGAGGGGCAGCTGCATAATTCTCGAATTTCTGTCTTACGTCAATGATCCACGCTGCTTCGCGATGCACCTCGAGTAGCAACTCTTACAGCGAACAGCGATTTTAATTTTACACGTGGCGTGTGCGGGTTTAAAATAAATTCGAGCTTTATTCCGGGGTAGACTCGAGAGACGTGTCTCTCGCAAAAGCTGTCGGTTCGGTCGAGACTTTTTATTGCTCCCCGCCCGGTTTCCCGCATTGTCGTTCGTTTTTCTCGGCCTCCTATGTATAGTCGGTGCAGTCGGTGTCGTCTGGAAAAAGGGAATTCGTCCATTGTTTGTTCTAGAATAATATTTCTGTACACGTCCGTTGCCGGCAGCTGGGTCGCGCCGTTTTCAACCCTTACGTAATTCCGAATCTCTTCGCCGCATCGCGAACTTGAAACTGAAACAGTTGCCTGGGCCGCGTTGCAGAGACACCGCCATCGCGGCGAATTTTCATACGTGTTCGAATCGAGTAGGTACCATATCTCGGACATGTCTCGAATTCAGCTCCCGACTCGGTCGAGATCTCGAAGATCCGTAACCACAATCGTCAGTCCATCATTGAAATTCTACGTATGTAGGGACATACTTTGCTAGGCGAAATACGAGGAATAAAGATGTTATTTAACACTAGAACTACCGATCTTTAAGGGGTACCAAACTATAACGTGCACAGATTATAGTAATTTCAGCGGTACGATGAATACGAGTGAATATATCGATTACAGTTCTTTGTTAATACGAGTTGATACCAATTTTATTCTTAAAACAGGTGTATGTGTTCGTATCATTCAAACCTCGTATAGGACTCTCACCCACAGGACTGACCTAGGACAGCCCTTGCACCCTCATTTAACCCTTCGCACTCGAGAGGCACACTTCAGTCGCCATTTGATAAAATTTCGAAGCTAGATATTAATTAATATATCAAATTTAAAATAATATAACATTCTACGTGTTAATTATTATACGATTTCTTATTTGCTGCTCAGAAAATATCATCAGCCTTATAGCAAAAAATTCCTTAGCCGAAAAAGGGTTAAACCTTGCACTCTGTCTTCTTTCTCAATCACGCATTTCTCATAGCCTCGCTCTCGAGGTGGGTCACCTGCCCTAAATATTCAGTTACCTTTCGCTCTTCATTTACATTCTATACAGTCATAAATACCCCTTCTATCCGATCCTTGCACGCAGTCACTGGACCTTCGACCTGAACCCTAGGTTGCTGTTTATTGCCCGTCACCAATTAGATAGGTCCAAGGGTTCCTCTGCATTTACCTTCAAACCTACTATTCCTCCACGTATTTACTCGAAATTCCAGAATTTCGGTACGAATCGGAATTGGTCCGTGGAATATTTCTATTTGGTAGATATAATCGGGTAGATACAATCGCATCTCCATTCGCGACGCGATCACGCTACCCATCAAAGCTATCTTCATCCCCGGTTCGAACGCGGTATTTCTATCCATAAATCGCTGCGAAGAAACGCGATGATCGATGCGCGCGCGATAACGCATTATGATAAATTACCCCGGACAGAGGTCTTTATACGCGACTACGCATGGGCGCGCGACAATCGTGAAAATCGGTCGGCGCGATCGTGAGCGATTACCCGATTTTCAGGGATTTTCGCGCGGGCAACCCGACCGGTAGCGTTATCGGGCATTGTCTCGATTGGCAAACTCACCAAGGCGTGTTACACGTGTGCGTGAGAGTGAGATATCTTGCACCCAGCTCGTACAGCATCCTTAGAACTGCCAGGCTCGTGCCAACCGCGTGGCCTCCTTCGACCCCTATCAGGCTCGCTAATCTACCCTCCTTGTGCGCCCGCTCTATACCTGAAAGCACACGTTAAATCTCTCTAGAATACTCTCGATTGCCGTTATTATCATTGCTCTAATTATCCCCCCCCCCGCCGCCCCCCGTAGATACCATGTGTTCCAACTTCCACCTTTATCGCGGATCTTCTCGAGCACCGTCCATTCGGCTAATCATTACCGACTCCTTCGGTTTAGAACCCTGGACGAGCTGCATCGTACGAATTCTAAGCTATGGCGATTAATTAGCGTCGGCTGTCACTTTCGATCGTCGATTTAATCGAATCGTTTAAATTGGCCATCGTCGGTGGACAGCGTTATCAGTCGGATCATTAACCACTTGCGCTATAAAGACGTGCCACGCACGTCGAGATGCTTTTGTTCCAAAGCCGCCAGCGACGTGTATACCACGTCGATAGGCATTTATCGCGGAAACGAAAACGACGTGTCCGTCACGTCGACTAACAGTTAGCTCGCAGACGCGGTGCGCATGTTATATTGTAGAGTGTGGCACTGCAACCGAAAGTTAAATCGTAACGCAAGTGGTTAACACGTTGACTGCCATGGGGGTCACCGGTGACCGGCACTCAACTTGGCGGTGGCGTCACGGGGGCCACCAGTGACCGGCGACGCGACCATTACTAAAAATACATAATTAGAGTAAATATCCATACTGATAAATTTTTAAATAGTACCATTGTTACTGTAATGGTTCGAAGAAATTAATGCCACACAGAACATGCAAAAATAATTTTATTTATACAAAGAAAAGGTGAACCAAAACAGTCGGCACAATATATCTCCACTTTTTTAGTGCAATTCTTTGCTCTCATTCTTCCTAGCTGATTTGAATTATTTTCATAGCACACTTTGCAAAATCGCCTTACATTTCGCACACTTACAGGTTTCTTTTTAAATTCGTGACGACGTTTTTCCTGTACGTAATTGCTCGATGAAATGCAATCTTCGTGATCAGAATATTTCACTAAATACATGGCTAACTTCATCCTAAAATCGGGAATTGAAATATTTTTTCGAGGTGCTTTTTAAACAATTGATAATGGCAAAAATGGTCTACAGCGCCGCGCGGGTCACAGGTGACCCCCACCGCGAAAAATGCATTAAACCCGATTATACAACTCACCTTATCTGCTGTAAATAATATTTCAACGTAATATGCATCGCATAATAAAATATTCATGTTGGCACCATGGGCAAACCACGTAAAATGCGCGCGGCAGTTAATTACGACGCGTAAAGGGGGCTCGATGAATCCCGATGAAGGAATAATGGGACGTCTTTCGAAGGAGGAATTCTTCTCGCGGCATTTTGTCAGCGTTTAGTGAGCGTGCCGCGAATTCGATTGCCGTCGGTTTAGTCGTTTTAATCGAGTCCGGCCGTGTAAAGGTGGGGCCACCGGGCTCCGCGAAATCGGATTCGCGGGCTCGGTGTCGTTCGGATTCGATTAAAACACCGCGTACAAATTGCGTTAGGTCGCCGGTACCGGGATACCGATATAGGTACGCGTATAACGCACGGAACACGCGTGCACCGTGTGTCGCTGCGCGGCGCTGCCGCTGACCCCCGCCATGTTCATCCCCCGAGCGCCATTCATCGCGCGGAATTCGAACTTTTCCGCTTTCCACCGCACGCGATGTAGTCCGTCCGCGTTAATGGAAGCGCGATCCTGCGGCTGGACGAATTCACCCATAATCTCCATCAGCCGAATCGACTAACCCTGTCTGCCTCGCGTAATCTCTTCGTTTATCGCAACTTCCTCGTAATTAATGCTTTGTTGGCTGATCCTCGTTTCCTTCGAGCTTTTCGCATCTGAGGTGGTGTCTTGGAAGCGTGATGTGTCGTAGGATCTCCTGTTATTATCTTTAGCGAAGTGTACGCGTCTTCTACTTCTACTTCGGCGAGTCTAAAACTTCGGGGTCGGGGTCCTTGGGGAGTTATAACACCCCTGTTGAGAAATCCCGTATCGGATGCTGCGACTTTTCAGATAGTAAGGAGCGTTACTCGCGATTCCTACGTTTTGGCAGACATAATTTTCTCGTTATATATAGCTTGCAAGTCGAAGCGATCTTGCGAGGTGGTTGGGTAATACGTCTAGCTTCGTTTATTCGAGAAAACGCTGAAAATTGTAGGAAATGGAAGGAACAGAGGGAAGAAACATTAATTATTCTTCTAATGATGCGAATGACGCAATCTGCTTCGAGTTCCTTGAATTTTGTACTTTTTCTGGTTTTATAAGTTACATATCGAATTATAATACTTTTACGTGTATTATGTTCGTGTTTCAAGGATGTTAATTATTCTTCGTTATTAAACGAGTTTAAATTATTATTTCTTCTCGTACTTAGATTCGACGAGCTTCTCGCGTGTGCATTACAATTCGCGTTTAATTTTGTTGTAGTAAAAATGAATACTAAAATAAAAGCTACATCCTAGCGATGCGGGGCGATTCCTTTTCTTGCGTTTTGCCTTTTGTCTTCCGTTTTCTGGAGACGTTTTGTGACCTGTGCGTGGTCCAAAATAGACCAGTTCTAACCGTTTGCACGTTTAACACTTTGACTGCCAGGTTGGTCATATATGACCGGTCACGGTTTCTCCTGTGACATCACGGTGGTCATTGTTGACCGGGGCACTTGAACTATATTGAGTGAAAATTGAACGAATTGAATGAAAATTGACAGTTAGTGCACTTTGCAATAATCGCTAATTAGAAGATACATTGAAATAAAAAGTGCCCCATTGAACGATTAAAAATTTTTATTAGAATATCAAAAACTTATTAAAACAAATCTTGTATTTAGAGGTGCAGTCCCGTGGAAATAGGCGTGGCAGTCAAAGGGTTAACCCTTTGCACTCGAGAGGTGAGTTTCAGTCACCATTTCATAAAATTTGGAAGATCGATATTAATTAATATAACAAATTTAATGCAGTATAACAGTGTGCAAGGTATCGAAATCAACTAATTCTATATTTCTATTATTATACAATTTTTTATTTACCGCTCAAAAAAATAGAAAATCTTTGAATTTCTACTCTTCTCTAGCCAAAAGTCGTCGAGTGCAAAGGGTTAATAATCATCTGTGCAGACTACTATTTCTTTGCATTATAACCCCTTAACAAATTTATTTGAGAATTATAATCAGTCTCCTTCCTCTAGACGTAAAAGACAATTTTATCCGTGTAATTAGACAGGCAAGGTGTCCGCTTATTTTGAGAATCAGTTAAGTCAAATTCCGTTTAATTCGTTTGCCACAGGATTAATTCCCGGAACCGTTCGAAATGGAATCTAGAGAAAAATCGAGAACAAAGCTCCAGTTATCCGCGACTTTAATTTCTTGTGGAGCAGGGTTGGCTAGCCATCGCGCTGTATCAACCTCTCGACGGAAGAGTTGAAACAGGAACGCCAGCAGCGAGCCGCAAGCTGTCGATGAACCTGGATTTACCGTGTCCGTTGATTTATGCGGTTGATTTATATTTCGATCCACACGGTCCTATTTGTTCCTCGATTACGTTTCCACGTTGTCCTCCTCGGAGGAGGATCTCGCTTTCTTCCTCTCGATCCCTAGAAATTTCTAATCGTCTGCCATTCTCCTTGTATTCCCGATATCGCGAGGTCCAAGTGATCTGAGTGGCTGGTGGGATCTATCGATCCATAGATTTACTCCGCTACCCGTCCGATGCTAACTTTTCCGCGTTAGCAGACGTTCCCGGTCTTTAAATGGCGACTGAATAAGTTATCCGATGATATCGCGCGAGAATTATAAGCGACGGCTCATCCTTCCATCGTTGGTCGTAAATTCTCCCGTGTCGGGCACCCGAGGCGTTTTCAACTATTGTTCCAAAGTAACCTTGCGATAGGACGCTGCGCGACGTAAGTTCGCGGGCCAGGGCCAACGACCGTTCGAGGTAAACACGTGTTCCTCGCGAGGTACGTCGTTTCTTGGAATCCTGCGATGGTACAAAGTCGTCGATAAGCCGTGGACGAAAACACGCGTGGACGGAAACGTGCGCGAGGATAGGCTCCTGCGATGGCTCCGACGTCATCGATAAGCCGTAAACGAAAACACGCGTGGACCTTGGTTCGAAAGGTGCGTGGGAACGGGCTCCTGCGATGGCTCCGACGTCGCCGATAAGCCGTAAGCGAAAACACGCGTGGACCGTGGTTCGAAACGCGAGTAAGGACGGCCACGTGTCGAAGCAGTCTACCGGAGAGCGTCAGTGAGGTAGGACGTTTCGAGTGTCGTTTCGCGTGGTGCGTGTGTGCTTCGGTGATACCTCGGGCAGCTGGAATCATCGATAATTCAGCGATGACGTAAGTAATTCGACCGTTTGTTTATTCCGACATTCGATAGGATGTAAAAGGGAGAGGGGGAAAGAATAAAAATCGCGTTATTGTTTTACGCGATCGGTATCGAGCGGCAGTTGAAATTCTGTCGATGTTACGTGTCGCATAAATCAGTCGGAAAACACGGGACATGTTTTTGCAGTGGCAAAAAGCAGCTTGCAAATTTTGAACAATCGTTCCTTTATACGTTCGGGTGAAGTATATACGGCTACGTATCGCATGTCTATTTACATATGCATGTGCATGCCGACATGCAGTCGCCGTGGTTCGGCTTATCGAACGCGGTAGAACGGTCGGAACGGCTTGACGTTTTTCCATTTCAGTTGAAATTTACAACTGGCTGGATCTTCCCCGCTGTCCGACATTTTCTCATCAGAACCACCACGCCGCGTCCCCCTCGGAGGGTTGCATCGCGGAGGAGCGAATTATCGCGGAAATCGCGGTCGATGCGCGTCTCGCGTGATCGCGAACCCGCGAACCGCTCGAGATCGGATCGGTGCACCTCTACCGTCAGGGAGTCGATCAAAATTCTCGCTCGTTCCCTTTGAAAATTATCCCCCGCACTCGTCGTCTAACGAGTTTCCTCCCTCTTCTTTGTACCGCTTTCTTCGACCTTGTTCTACCACCCCGGCGTGACGCGGGTATCGAGTTTAGACGATGAGACGTTGAACGCGCTATGGTGGCCCTTTTGCGCCCCATTATTTACCCCTTTTCTCTCTCCGGCGACGTGGCTGGCTCATCGCGTCGCCAGCAGTCGCGGTTCTTCCCTTTTTCTCCTCGCTCTTCGATTTACCGGCTTCTTACCCTCTCTCGTGGTAGACGAAAGATTATGGGCCGAGAATTGAGGCTTCCATCAAAGGCGAGACGGCTGAATCTCGATTTACGCCGATCGCACTGACGACCCTCGTTCCTGTACAATTTCTCTACGGCCGGAAGACGAAGGGAATTCCATCGCGAAGCTTCCTTTCGCTGACGTTAGGAACAAATCACACGGAGAAGTAGGTTAGCCTCTAAGCTGGGAAGTTGGTCGTTACAGGGAGAGGGACGATGGCTGGTTTTCGAGAGAACGCGCGGCTTCTTTCGCGACTTAAGATGCATCCTAAATCCTGGAAAGTGTATTCACGGTGACGATAATAACGGGGAGTGCTGGCCCGACTTTTCCGTCGCGTTTCCATCGGACGGCTGGCGCGCGTCCAGGGAATTTCGGAGTCGCGCGACGTCGGATGGCCGACCGGAAGCAAACACATGGCGGGCAACTCGGGACGTTCGTCGACCTCGATCGAACGTTTCATATCGTACGTGCGTAAATTTTCGCCGTGGCGGGAACGGGGCGGGCAGATAGAGAAGGAATAGATTGTTTTCCGGGCACGTTCGAAGGGACGAAGTAACTCTCCTTTGAAGCGAGTCCATTTATTATCCGGCCGGCGTCTCGCGAGTTGCTCGATCGTCGGACGCGACGAGGAATTAATTAAAATGGGAGAGGAAGCGCGGGGAGGGTGCGGGGTTGCGGCGGGACGGAGATTTTCTTGGAGCCTGGGGAGAAGTCTGGGAATTCTTTTCGGGGGCGTTTGCCAGCCACCCCCTGACATTGGCGCCGCGCCAGGAATTCTGCCGGTGTGTAACGTCGAACGGCCCATTCTGGGAACAAATAGAGGATGGTAATTCCCGACGTTCGTCGACCTCCAAGCTCGATTTCATATTCCTCGCGTGTGAAGCTCGCGAAGGATGGCTCCTTCCAGCTCTAGCATCTTCGAGACCGACGACTTTCGAATACGACCGGCCTTGCCTTTTCGAGAACGCTGACTCCGTGGCTGACTAGGTACATACACTTACGAGTATGTACCTCGGGTATCCCTCAAAGTTCACGGAAACCGTACCCTCGAGAACGCCGGAAGTAGGGAGGGACGTGTCGAAAGATGAGCGCGGCATCGCGTGTTTACGTTATATTAAACCTGATTGGCAATTAATAATTCCGTGTTTAACTTGCGAGGCAAGTTTGGCGATTCTATTAAAGAGTGATACAGCGAACTCTCGGTAGCTAGCGGTAGTTGGATGTTTCGCGCGTTGTTCGATTCTCGCGGCGTTCCGTTTACTTTGACCGACGATTTAACGCAAGCTTTGAGCCGGTTATCTAATAGCCCGAAGAGGGTGTAACGACTGGTCACGCGCGTGTACGCTAAATTTGTTTAGGCAGCAAACAGATAGGTCGTTGCGATCGATACTCGCGTTTGTCGGTGCGGCTCGCGCGCGATGTCACCGTGATCGTCGCGAGGGTGCTTCGTTTCCTTTTGTGGCAAGTGGAGGGGTGGTCGGAGGGTGGAGACGGGTGGAGGAAAAATAAGCGAAGAGGGTGGAAAAAAAAGAGAAATAGGTCGCGCGTTCGGTGGAAATTCTTTGACGAGCGAGATACGCGAGTCGATAACGATTCGCTCGAGGGAGAAATCGAATCGGTTTGGCCGGGTGCCAAACGAATACTCGCGATTGAAAATTTATCTTCGCGGATCGCGTAATGTTTAACTCTATCCCTCGCGTGAATTCCCCTCGTTCCGCGGCTGGTCCTTTGACCGGGGCGCGATCGTCATCGGCCTCGTTGAAACGCCACGACTATTTTTCGTCGCATTGAAACGACTGCCGCCGTGTAAACACCCCCGCGAAGCTTGCATTTTGACGCGCGGCCATAGCCGGCAGTCACAAAGGCATAGAATCGCGAACGAAATACCTCACCTTCCGCCGTAGTAACGAGGACCATGCTTTCAGGATGCTTGTTGACCAGCCGACGAATCAGGTCGATCTGCTCGAGTGCCAGCTGGACCGAGTCGTGATGCTGCGAGGAGCAGGGCACGTAAGCCGACCAAAACTGCAACAGAGAAACAACGAAACGACACCGGTGAGTCTTATTTTATCAGCGTGATATCAAACGCGAGCGTATTTCTCCGCGTTTCACTCCGAGTCTGCGGAGATTTACGATAACAAGCTTGTAAGCCAGGCGGAACGAAAGTTATTGCCCCGGGTCGTGCTGCGTCGCCTTTTAAATTACCGCCGATTTAAACAATCGTTGCACGGCCTCTCTCGCGTTCAATTATCGGTCGTCGGAAATATTAGCGCCGTTAACAGGGAAACCTGACGTTAGCGCGATTCCGCACGCGTAATGATAATAAACCGGCGTAAACGGCAATTTCTCATTTCGATTCGCTATCGGATAGAACTTTGGAAATAATTAAAAGGGTATTACGAAAGCGTGGCGCCCGGCAGGCGCCGCTTTGAATTTTAAATACAGGGATATCGGGGCCCATAAATAAGGGAGTATTTATCCTCCCGGCTCGCAATGTGTACACCGGCTAAGAATATATTCTACTTGGAGTAAATTAAACCGATGTATCAGATCCCGAGGATTAAACACGCCCCGTGATATTTCATTCTACCCTGATAAGGGACTATGGGGGTGAACGTGAGCTCGCATAAAAACTCTTTCCGTACGTCGTTTCGCGGTTGTTGGGGGTCAAACGGAAGGACTCTTTTGTTGCGAGCTTGCGCGCACGCGCAGAGGTCCTACATCCTCTCGAGAGTCACCGATTCCGGGAAATAAGATCCATCGGGATCCGTAGAATCCAAAGATTCCCGATCGTATGTTCTGCGCTCTATCGCGAGGATTTATATCGCTCTCCCGCGGATTTTCCGAATATTTTACGACCCCCGATCGGAATCCGAATCCGAATCCGAATTCGGGATGGACCGGGCCGCCATCGAACGAACGACGATATCGTGGGAATTTTTCCTCCGATTTCTCGGCGCCGTTCCACCCCCGCTCGCAGCAGCTCGGTGACTGGGAAGTTTTGTTTTCAACAACGTCGGATGAAATGGACGCTCGAAGCGTGACGGTGTCGTGGAGCTGTCGTAAATCAGCGCGTAGCGCGAGATGGTTTCACCCCCGGTTTTTATTCCTGCTTTTATTCCTACTCCTTCCTCCAGCCTGCATCGAGCAGTGACCGTTTCGCTGCGTGACTCGCGCCGCCTTTCGCGCCACCCTCGTTTCTGCGACTTCGTTAACCCCCTGGAAGAACCTTTACGGCTGCGATTCGCTCCGCGTCGCCGCGGATTAAAGCGTCGGATTGCCGCAGAAGCTAATCGCGACACGGCGGTAATTTAATCCCGCGGCAAAGACCACTTTCAGACGGTGAATCGAAGCTAGACGCGATCCCGTAAACGGCTGCGGCCACGGAACTTTTGATTTCTCGTTAACGCGATCATTCTCGCCGTCTGCCTCCGCCCGTGCTCCATCCCTGGCCAATTTCACCCGCGACGGGAATTTATTCTTAATTAACTCTCGTCCCCGTCGGGTCTCGGCGAGGTCGCAAAAGCGCACGGGAAACCGCGAAATTGCATCTTGGGACGCGACGCGTTTACGCCATCCTCGGCTTTTCAACGCGTCTCGCGATGGCGAATCGAGCGACGATTAAACGCGCGAATCGTTTCGCGGAAACTTTTCCGCGCCGAGTGCCCGCGGCTCGTTAACGTTCAACTCACCTGGAATTTTAGGTCGGACGTTTCGCAAAATCGCGCGTACCCGAAGATGTTCTTCAACTCCTGTCCACTCTCTCTTTTCTCTGCTGTTTCATCCCCTTTTCACCACCTCTTTACCCCCGTTTTTCTCTCTCCTCTTCCTCTCAGTCGTCGCCGCTTTGCGCAAAATCGAGCGGCAGTCACGGTCCGGTTTCAGGTCAGACGTTTGTAAAAATATTCACCCCCGTGGAGGGTGCAATCGCGTCGCGTTGTCCCAGTTTAAAGGCGCGTTTACACGCACGATCGGTGACGTGGTTCGTTTTATGATATTAGACGACACGTTGACGTACCTCGGCGAACCCCGTCTCGCTGCGGGGGTTAACGGCTGCGGCCTTCGACCACGCGAGTGGCTCGTGCGTCATTTCCAGTTCTTTATTTCCACCTTGGCCGCGACGCGAGCCAATTATTCCGCGGTATCTCGATTTTTTCCGTCCGCTACACGCATTCTTTTCGACGTATCAGCGGCGGGTTTTGCGCCGCGAGTGGAACACGCTCGAGTTATTTCCAACGGGCGGAATCCGCTTTTGGAACGCAGTGGTCAGGAATCGCGGCCGATAGCTCAAGGGTGGTTGCCTCGGGGTGCGATCGGAAACGTTGCTTTCGCCGGGGGTGTTCCAGATTTTCCGTGTACTCCGAAACGCGTTGTCCGTTTGGTCGGTCGGGGTGGAGAGAGCGCGTGGCACGCATCGCGTGAAACAGAGCGTGCCCGGAACACTGAGTACCCCGAATGGAAATTAGCCCTCGGAAGACGAAGGCTGGTTTCGTCTATGAACAAGACGTCGCCGTGATATTTCCAGTTAAACGCGGATTGTCATGGCAGAGGGAGCAGGATGTTCGAAGTCCACTAAGGGATGGCACGGCGATCAATGCCTCTCTCTCCGTCCGAATTAACCGAGACAGTGATGGATCGAGGCGAGACCGGTTTGCCAGATCCTGTGTACGTATCAGGCTCTATATATATTATGCATACATGCATACATGCGCGTTCGTTTCAGTGGGCATAACCGGCTAGTCACCCCTTTCGTCTCGATGTAAGCAAACTGAATACCTTGAGGGACACTGTGACATTGAGAAACGACCCATAAAATTAGGCGACCGTTTTCCCGTGTAATTTCCCAACCTAAGCGAATACTCCGTACTCGATAATGGCGCATAAACCACGTCGCTGATTTATCGATGTAACCTTGTATATCGATAACCCTCCCCCTCTCTCTCTCTCTCTCTCTCTCTCTCGTCGAATATTCGCAATTGTTCCAAAGTCCCCTCGTTTCTTGCCCCCTTGGAACGCCGTTATTTTAACCCTCTCTTTGCCTACTGGCCCCCGCACTGCTGGAAATTCGTAACTAACCCGGTTTCGCGCTATTCGCGTAATTAGTATTCCCTTTTAATTACGGTATTAATTAAATTGGGCCGCGGACGCCGCGTTGCTACGCGTGTTCGCGCATGCGCGCCGCCGTAAGAAGCTTATTTGAATTTCGCCCCTTGCCGCGCTCTGTCACACCTTGGCATTAGCTCGGCGAGTAATGGAGTGGCCTTCTCGAGCGTAGCCTTGCCCCGACATCCGGTTCCGCGAGGCCGACTTTTCGGACGCCGCCTGCTGCTCCTCTTTATCATGCGCCGTTAGGCCACGCTCGCCATAATCGCGTCTAGACGAGCTCCTAACAGATGGGATCAGCGGCAGACTATTTTGCTAACGAGCAACCGGAGTACAGCTGTATCCAAAGGTCTCCCGCGGAGGAATTTCCTCCGGGGTAGCTTCCACCCTCTTACTCGACCTTCTTCCGCGTCTTGGGTCGCGGCCTGTATTCGCCTCTGCTCGACACACGCGGCAAGCGCAGCTGTTCCCCGAATGGAATTCCATTTCTGACGTCTTAAAGTTAAATCCCTTTGGATAAAGCGGAACTACCGGGTTCCTCGACAATTCCACGCAGACCCCGGTCTTCCACTCCGTGCCCGCGTTCCTCGCCATCTTCTTCTCCGGTACCGGGATGTACCTTTGCCTCCAGTCTATAATCCATTTTTGCACGCTCGATTTCGAAATTTCGCGCCTAATTTGACGAGTCACTCGTGTCATAACCCTTTGCGGACGGAATGATCTTGAGTAAACCGATAGTCATTCGAAACTACCAATGCTCATTTCTATTTATCTTTGCGGACGGAATGATCTTGAGTAAACCGATAGTCATTCGAAACTACCAATGCTCATTTCTACTTACTGCGATTTTCGATTATAACGAAGCTAGCAATAAGGACATAAAGCACTTAACCTGAGACGTACGGTCCTAGGGGCGCATATACGCGTTTCTCGGTCATAGCAACGCGTTTACGTGGGGCACATTTATGATTCCCTTGGCTCTATCAGCTGTTTCCGCAGAACGCACATATACGACGCTCGTCCGCAAAGGGTTAACGTACAACTTTTCACGATGGTTCCATATTCCGTGGTTAGCAATTGCACCATTTCGACCTCGTGGTCCGAGTCTGTATCCTCGAAGAAGCGCCTCTGAATATTTCCTAATAAATTCGTATCCATCGAGACACGAATGCCGTTTTCACCTGGTCACTGGTGAATGAAACTGCGTGAAATTCGGCATTCACGCGATTCTCGTGGAAGCGAGACACATAGCCCGAGCCATTGGAGGTCGCGTGAAAAATATATATTTCCGTCTAGACCCGCAGAGGTCGTGGTCGCTGATAGCCGCGTACTCGTGTTCACGCGAATGCAGGGTCGACGCGCCCAGGCGATAGCCCATCCGCGAATTTCATCGCGAAAGCAATTTCACAGGTAGCAACTTTCATTACGCAACGTGCATGCGATTGGTTGCTGGGGAAAGGGCGTATCGCGGGACCGACTTGCTCGACTTTAATACACACGGACAGGAAATTATAATCTACTTTGGTTGGCGTGATATTACTTGTACGCGTGCTTCTTTCGAGCGTGTTCCTTTGAATGGCGAGAATTGCGGCGACGGAGCCCGCGGTAAACGATGTCAGCGCGCCTGAAAGCGACACCGGAAACGTTTCCGTAAGATTTGCGAAGTAAAAATAATTTCTGCTCGTCACGCGTAAAGTCCCTTTACAGGCCGTCGTTCCTTTTCACGTCGTCGGGCAAACGACGTCGGTCACGATTACAGCCCCGTCGTCGCGACGCTGCGCCGGGCTAAATAAACGAATTCCGAGCGATTCGTCGTCGTTAACTAACTTGCACCACTCGCGATACTAACGCCGGATTCGAAATCGAAAATCGATATTCGTCCCGGGCTGGCTTTAGGGTTCCACTCCGGCGCACTCGCTCGCAGAAGGAACGAGATAAGATAAATCGTGATCACGGGAAATGTTAATCCCGATAATGAGTTTGGTCGAGTTTCCGTGCAAAATTGTCGGATTAAAGTTCCCTGTACTTTAGGCGGTTGCCTAAGCGCGAATAAGGAATCGCTTATCGTTAGATTTACGCGATCGCGTAGTTGCAGCGCTGCTCGTTTCGCTTCTCTTTCGCTCGCGAGTGCGCCGTAACAATCGCGATTTTCCGTTACCACCGCAATCTTCTTCCTCCATCGCTTAACGTAATGTCATCATCGGGAGTAAAGGGCACAAAAGAGCCCGTTGAAGAGGGTCGAGGAGCGGGAGGGCGATTTTCTATTTTCACGAAATAGTCTCTTCTCCGTCTCCGCTTGCTCTAGTTTTCGTCCATCTCTCTCTCCCTCTCCCTCTCTCTCTCTCTCTCTCGCTCGAGCCCCCCCGTTATTCCCACGTTTCCGTGAAACACGAAGATTTCCGATCGCTCGCTCGCAACGATAAGTAGTCCGGGACCGAGGTCAGCGAAGAAAAGATTTATTCGATTGCCACGCCAAAATGGCGGTCCTCCGTTCTCTCTTCAGCGCTCGTGTTTCGTCAGTTGTCCCATATACGCGAACTTTTCGGCCTAGGTCTTTCGTCTCCAAGTCCGCACCGGTGGTGGTCACCTACCGGACAACGTTGTATTCGATCGGAAATGTCCAAAGTTCCCGTGCAATTTCGTCTCGATAAATCGATTCGCTCGTCGCGCCATCTCTCGGCCCCAACCGCGTCGTAGAGCTCGCGGCGAGAAAAAGGGGCCATCAGGGATAACTCGGGGCGATGGTTCGAGATTAATCGAAAGGATACGGGGACTAGGACGACCGCGGTAAATTTTCGTCAGAGCTTAATCTCGGGAACCGCGAGAAATTAATTAGCAAAGTTGTCCGCGATCCGGTCGCTTCGTTACGCGCCATTTTCCCGCGCTAATGGAACCGATTCCGCGCGCATTTTTCCCGCGTTACCACCGGTGTCTCGTGACTCTGGATAATCGCGACGGCGTGCGCTAACGAAGCCATCGGAAGCGTACGGAAGACGGGGCTGCTAAATCGGCCTTAATTAATCCCTTGCAGTTACGCGAGACCGGAGAAACGCGAAGAAAGCGCGGTAATTGAAACGTCGCGAGGGAAAAGAGTTTGGTTCGGATGGGAGACACGCGATTCGCGCGTTTGCGGCTCGTTCCGTTACGACGCTGGTTCAAACACCGAAGAGAAGCAATTTTTACGTTCGAACCCCGGTACCCGGGTAAAACGATCGAGCCCGTTAGACGACACGCGATTTCTTTTCTTTCCGTGGTTTACGCGTCGTTTTAATTTCCGCGTCCGGAAAATCGCGTGCTCGCCCCTGCTAATCGCCCGGTCGGCTTACGCGGCAGCGATTCGAGGGCGAGTAGGTTGTTCGATCAGCTCGTATCCGCGCGATTCCGTCGAACCCTGCCCGAGGGGTTGGCTGGTAATTTTCGCCCAGCTATAAATCGTCCGACGCGTCGGAACGGAGAGAAGACTTTTGGGAAAAGCGTCGGGAACGGCTGACGCGAAATCGACTAGGGCCCGGGCACCTCGTGAAGAAAATTCGCGGCTGAAAGGTCCGTCGGAGAGCAACGCCGATGCTGCAACGAGTAATTGGACGCTGTCTACATCGCCGACGATATATGCGCATCGGCCGCTTTCCGGATTCGCCGAACATTCTCCGGCACGTTGTTCTGGATTAATGCCTTTTCACGGGAGCTCGCGTTATCGCGGTTATTATTGCGCTCACCTGGGCTGCAACCATACCCTCCTTCAATCTTCTGAGATCCGTGTGGCTCCAGGCGCTCCGTGACCAAGGGTGGGTGTCCCTCAGGTCATCAAACCTGAATTCCCTCAGCTGATTCTTCAGGAACTTGCGTATGTTCCACGGCAGGTCGTTGTGCCTGGAACAAACGAACAACGAATAATGGAAACACGTCTCCTTTATAATTCACGGTTCAGCGGCGCGCTTTCGGCCGTACACCCACGTATCCTAACCGTTTCACCTTAACGCGACCTCGACGAGGACGTACACGCCGGCTAGGTTCCGTTTTATCGAGTGTGACGCGACACCGTGAAATGGCCGTGTTTCGCAGCGACGACGCGCCGCGTCGTGCACGCGGACACCGGGTCTAGCAGCGCGGTGTCCGGAGAAGCGGGATGGAACGGCGGAGATATACGGCGGGAAGGGACGGAAAAGCGAGTAAACTTTGCCTCTTACAATGGCATTAGCCCGGCGTCGCGACGCACGAGAGTTTCGCGACGGGTTCGGTTACTTGCCCGGCCGACCGGACCCCGTCTGACTTATTTCGTCCGGAATCCCTGATTTCTCTTGGCCGGGATTTCTATGGAGGGACGTTGGGCAAATATTGGCCGGCCGGTTTCGTCGCGGGCGCAGACGTCAACATTGTTATCGAGGCACGAATAGGGGATCCGCGGAAGAAAGCTCAGGCCGTGCTCGGTGTGCAAATCCCCGATATATTTGTCGTGTGCCGGCCAGTGGCACGGAGCTACTCGACAACATAAATATTAATATCTGCATGTTTGTACGGGATCGCATCGGCTCGATTCGCACGCGCGATTGATTTGCGTGCGCGGAGAGGAAGGCAGAGCTAGAGAGATGGCTGGGAGAGGGACGAAGCGAGCTCGAGACGACTCCATTGGAGGGTCGTAACGTCACGTAGAGGACGTTACCGTGGAGAAAGACAACGCGGCGGGATACAAATGGACGAGCGAGGGGGGTGGTAGACGAGGTAGGAAAGTTTGCGTCTTGGAATAGCATTAGCCGACTAGTGTCTCGCTGCCTCTAGTTTGCCAGCTTCTGCCGCGGTATCCTCGTTGCGCGTTAATTCGCTCGGTCGGACCTGCGCTACCGTGCGTAATGCGGCTATCCGATCTGCTATTACGATCGACGTTACACCGGTTTCCCTCGGTCTTAAGATTCCGGCTAAGCCACCGATTCGGTGCGTTATCTCCGGTAATTTAACACGAGGGCCAACGCGTCCGGTGGACGTGTTCGTTTAAACCCTGACAGCGTGGCGCTCGCGTTAAGCTTTAATTAAACTAACTACGCCGGGTAAACGAGAAACTTTTCGACCGATGAAAGGCGGGAAGAGTCGAGGCAATGGAAGGGAAAAAAGGAAGCGGAAAAACTGTCTCTCTCGTCCTCTCTTTTTCCCCTTTCTCTCTAGCAGCTAACACAGTAGGTTAAGCCACGAAACGAATGTAATTACCCGGCTGAGACAGCGGGTTAGAGGCACGCGGCTTCGAAAGCCATATTCCCATTAAGCCGTATTACGGGCCGGATAATTCTAAGCACGCGTCGCATTCCTAGTCCGCTTCATTCGTCTGACGCGCGAATTAACTCGACGTAATCGTCGGGGGGAAGACGCGACCCGTGCTACGCCTACGCGACGAAACAATTTGAATAATCGCGGCTGTGCGCGATGACGCGCGGATAACGCCGCAGGATCTCGCCCCGATGCCTGTCGCGGCTCACCGGCTAATTCGGAGGGACGCGATGGCGCCAACTTGTATTTCTCGATTACACCCCCGGCGTAATTACGCGGCAAACTCGTAACCGCGTTTCGTCGGCGTCTCGCGTCGCGCACGACAATGCGGCAACTTTAAACGCCGCGACGCGACCTCAACTTTGTTTCCAGTTTCCGCCACCTTTTCCCGACCGGTGTAGCTCGCCGAGTTCGATAACCGATTAATCGATCGCGCGGGGGGCGCGATACGCGACGCGTCATCGTCGTCGGCATCGGCATCGGCGTCGGCGTCGTCTCGTTCGTGATTTCCACGCGTTTGCCGCGTTTCGAACGACGTCGGGGTCGCGAAACGCGGTGTTACCTGGTTCCCGGTTGAGCTTAATTAACGCGCGCGGCTCGGGAGAGTGGGCTTGAAAAATTATCGCGGCGAAAGGGAAGGAAAAGAGACGGGAAACACAGAGGAACGCGAAAGGGACACGGATGGAGCAATATTTGCGTTATTTTTTTCCCTGCCGATTCCCCGTTGAATACACGTTTACCGAGAGCGTTTAAATATTTGCCAGCAGTCGCGCGATGAGTTTCGCGAGAACGCGCCTGCCCGCCGACGATCGTTTCGCGGGCCCCGCTCGGCCAGGCCGATTCTTGCGGCGATTGCTCGCGCCTCGGTATCCGGGTCGACTAATCCCGCCAGCGGTAATTATATCAAACTCGTAACGAAAATATTCCAGCAATTTCGGACGAGTTGCCGCGAGAGACAGATTGGTCGCGACACAAAGGAATTTTGATGCACGACGGAACGAGAGAACGGATGCACACGCGCAGGCGAGAGAGAAGAAACGCGCGAGCGTGTGCGTGCGTATTGTTACCCGGACAAATCTGACCTGAATCAGAGATGGATCTGGCCGACCGTTTGCCGTGAACCGCACCGCACGGTGGCTGAATGCACTTTGAACGTGGTGCGAGGGGAATTTAACTTGGAACGGAATTAGGTAACCAAACGAGCAACCCGTGTTCCCATCTCCTCCGACCCCCTCGCGGCCCCCTCTTTCTCCCGTCCTATTTGTCCACCGATAATTCCAAAAGTTTACAAGGATCGGAACTCGCTGCCTAAACATTCCCACCGATTAACCGGTACTCCGCGGCCCTGACGCCCCCTGTTCGCTCTCTATTCGCCCCCCGATCTCCCCGTGGCTCCCGCTTTTTCTCGCCAGACGCCGCACCCCGGAGTAAAGGAGATTAAGGGTACGCTGGGAAGGTCGGACACGCTTCGATCGTTAACCTGCTCGTGACGATGAAACAGCCGGCCGTGATAACGACTACGACGATAATAAAGATAATTCCGGATCCAACGACTTTCTTGCCGATTTATCTCCGGGGCAGAAATTTCCGGAGGGTGTCTCGTTCGCCTGGCTACGTTTTCTCATTGGTACTTGCTTAAATTTCATCGTCGTCCGGGAGACGCGTCCGCGTAATAACTGCTGCCCGGTCGTGGACCACTCGTCTTCATCCCCGTCGATCTCAACGACCGGTCTCGTACCTAATTTGCTCGAAAGGCCAGGTCGAACGGGTTTCGGTATCGCCTATTTGCCACGACACGTTCGTCGGCGTCCGTATTCCGCGTGATCGCTCCCGCGATCGACGATTCGCTCGAATTACCCTCGTTGCTGCTTCCCATTGGCCATTTACCGCTCTGTTTCTAGCAGCTTTCTTTCCAGCCGAGTCGTTCCGAACGGCGATTGGATTTTCAGACCGGATTACCGCGTACGGGAAGCATTTCGTCGTAGATTCCGTCTTTGAATTTTCAAGTCGAAGAGCGAGGTGACTGGCGCGATATCTCGAACCTTCGATACGCGAAGCGGCGTACAAACGATCGGATCAATGGCCGCAATGCGGCTCGGTAATAATTAGGAAAACCAATAAGCGTTAGAGCCGGAACGTTTGATACTGTCTCTACGTGCGACCGCATACCTATACGGAAGTGAATCGCATGGAACGAAGTATGCTTATCACGCCGGATACGCCTATGGATTCGTCCCTGTATACGTCTCTGTGCACGTGCCTGTGTACGTCTCTATGCGTGTTCCCGTGTCCGCGTCTCCGGATACATAATCGGAATCGTTGAACGCTTCCGACCGATTCGAATTTCCTATCGAACGCGAAGGGGTCCTAATAGGCGTTTTGAAGGACGATCGAAATCGTTATGGCGGAAATGAACGCGTAGCGGGGGCGCAAATTGGTGCTCTCGATCGGTGACGAAGAATCGTTGAACCGAATCGGCCGGCAAATCGATCGGTAAATAGCGCAGTTTACACGGCCGTTTCAAAATTGTCCTGTATTTTTACGCAATGTCAATTAATTAACCAGCGAAACGATGTCGAGATTGTTTGCGGACCCATTTCGATTCGCAAACACGACGTGGAAAATTTTTAATCGGGAAACCTCAGCCTTTTCCGCGATCATCATTCGTCGTGGACGCGCGATATTTGCCCGATCGATGATCCACGCTCGGGTTTCAATTTTTAATTGAACGAATTTTCCTCGAATCAATCGCGTCGCACGTGGATCTACGCCTGTGATAAAGTTTGGGCAAAAATTGCAAAGGGAATCGGATCCGATTGCTTCCCCCTTTTCCCTGCGCGTTTGACGAATTGCGAATGGCGGATCGGATGGTAACGAGTGGTTGCCGGTGAAAAAATTATCTTTCAAAATGAGCGTTAACCATCGGTATCGAAGGGTGGCCGATCCAGGAAAGTGTCGGCGGAGCTTGGCTGACAGCCAGGCTCGTGTTTGCGCTCATCGATAACAGGGTGTCGTAAAAATTCCGCCGCTTATTGGTCCTATAGCCGACCGAATTATTCTTTTTCCACCCCCTTTTCTTCCCTTCCTTTTTTCAGCCGTGGTAAATTTCATCGATCGCGCGGCACGGCGACGAGGAGAAAAAATTCCGTCCGATATCTTGTTTCTTCGTTTTGTCGTTCTCCATTAAAGCTGCTTTCCCAGCATGATTGCCCTAATTACGTGCCGCTGTACAAAGAGCGGCCAAAATTACAGCCGAGCCGAATTCCTTCGTCGATCTTCGTCAATGTCGCCCGAACGAAAATTGGATACTGCGTCCTGCGATTTCGACCAACGTCTTTTTCCACGTAATTGCCCTAATTACGCCGTTGGCGAGCAAAGTGCAACCGAAGAGATAACCCCGCCCTCTAGCCGGAGGCGTCTGTCGCCTCTCTGTGTCTCGTCTCCCCGGGACGAAACTGGAACACTTCCGGATACGTACGAGTCCCGTCGCTTTCTCCTACTTTCCCAGCGTTTTCGCGTTAACCGTTCTCATGCATATTCATCGAATGCAACGTGCGTCTAAGGGGCGAATCATATCCGGCGCGTAGATTTCGCGAAAGCGCGGTTGAATTGTC